CTCTCTCTCTCTCTCTCTCTCTCTCTCTCTCTCTCTCTCTCTCTCTCTCTCTCTCCCCCCTCCTCCCCCATCTTTTACACGAGGACCTAGCTCCCACAAAGTTGAGTATTGCTCCTTTGAAGCTCCTCCTTCTGCGATCTTGTATGTTATCCTTGCTCTCCTCTCTTTGCGTTTCAAAGTGTTCCATGGGAAGGACGCTTTCAGCGTTCTTCGGTTCAGAAGTGTTCGACTTGTTCGTGATTTCTCCTTCTTGAACGGTGCCACCTGTCTGTTGTTCTGCTCCGCAGCTACTGTTTGAAACCCCATGCTGCATGTCTCCCCTCCTCAGAGGGCCTGCCCACTCCCTGCTCTCAGCCCTGGACAAGCTAGTGTCTCTGTTGCTCGAGCTATCCTGTGTAGCTCAACCGCTGCAAGACCCCCCCTCCCCGTGCTGCGCGCTCCGAGGCATGGTGGTTAAGCTCCACGCGGCTATGGCTAAACCATAAGACTGTGCCGCTTGAGTCACGGGAGCAGAGCGCTACAGCACCAGCTTCCCGCTTTGTCCCTCCTCTCAAAGCGGTTCAAGTACCAGGCCCATAGGTTTGGTGCTGAACTTCTCAGGAAAAGTAATTTAAAAATCAAAACAAAAAAAAAAATATAAGATGGCAGAATCAGTTCTCGCGGCAAATGTTCGTATTTTCTTGCATTTTTCTTTCATATTTATGCTCCCTGCTGCTACCGCCAGGACCAAAAAGTTTCCACTTCCTGGCCATAACGGTAGTCTGAATTCCGAAGCGGGAGGGAGGGGTCTTTTTTCTGCCTTTAACAGTAGGTTTGCCAGGTCAGAAGCAGCCGTAGACGTGCTGGGTCTATCAGGCCTAGGCCCCTACCGAATCTGCTTGGTGCTGCCAGCCAAAACAGAAAGTCCCAGGGTGATTAGCAGGAGAGCCTGTTTGGTCTTCAGCTGCATCTGGTCAACCCTACATCGCCACTGCCAAGCAGAAGGTTAGCGGGAGAGCCGGCTGGTCTTTACCTGCCACTGCTGCATTTCACACCGTCTCATGTCAAGGAACATTGGGAGGGTACGCTGCCATGATGGGGGAACATGGCAGCATTCCACATCCCCATGAGGCTTCTGTTTTTGAGGGGGGGCTGCCAGTCTTCACTCAGGTCTGTGCAAAAAGTATAGTTGCAAGCGTGGTCCCCTAGCTGATCTTTGCCGAATATTTGTGTGCAAGAATTTAGCAGTTCTGTTGGTTGTATGATGGCCATCGAGGGAAGAGCTGCGTAACAAGGCCAGTCTTCACCACCAAGTTTTCACAGCAAAAAGCACTGACATTACCTATGCGGTTTTCATGCTATAGTCCTTTGAAAAATTGCTTGCTAGCTTCGATGAGTGGGAGAGCTGCAGTGGTCGGGGCTGTGGTCTTCACCAGTGTCTCTGAGTTTGTTGACTTGTTGGTCAAGGCTGCAATATGAAACAAATCTAGCAAAATGAGAGGGTGGTGAGGTGCATATTTTCAGTATTCATTGTATTCCTATGGCACGCTGGACCCGGTTTCCAGCAGGTGCAGTTTCCCACCAATAGAATGGAGCACCATTTTGTGAAGGAAAAAAAGTTTGCGCCAAGCCGTTTTTTTTTTTTTGGAGGGGGGGGCATGCAGCTTAAATCCGCCTCAGGAAAAAGAGGAGAGAAATGTTTCCAAGGAAAAAATGTTTCATAGGCCTGCTGCCTGTGGCAGTTTCCAAGGAAGAAATGTTCCTGCAAATGTCAAATGGACCCCTAAAAGAGCCCTAAGGAAATTTGATCTCAGAGAGATGCACCTATCAAAAACTTTCACATACAGATTATGCCCATAACTGCTGATACTTCCCAAAATACATTTGTACAGGAGAAGCCCAGCTGGTTTTGTTATTTCCCAAGTACAAATTTTCTGCTACCCATTGTATGCAGCGAAGGCTGTTTGTGGTCAAAAGTCAAGCTTCCTCAGCTTTTTCACGTTGCTATTTTGGGAAAGTGGAGCCTCGCCCTGCCATATGGCTGAACGGTGCACAACATGGAATCAGATTGATAAAATAAGGTTAAGACTACCCCGTCAAGAAAAGGTGAAAAAAACAAACTAAGTCTCCACTCCCCACTGGTTGCCTGAGGTTTGGTGCCTGCCACCTCAAGATAGCTTGTCGAGTTCCCCAGGTCACCTTCCGGAACAGCCGGTTAACACGGAGGTCGTTTTTCCTATGCTGGCCTGCATACACCGGGTCCAGTACATAAATGATTGAAAACGGTCGGGCTGAGTCAGAAGGGTCCAAGGTACTTGTGGTTTGAGACACTGCTGATATTCTGCCCTGCATACACCGGGTCCAGAACATAAATGACTGAAAACAGTCAGGATGAGGCAGAAGGATCCAAGGTACTTGTGGTTTCAGACACTGCTGATATTCAGTGGCTACCAGCTGGCCCCCGCCAGTGTCACCCACCAGGACCCTGTGGGGCTGGGGGACCTCGATTCTCAAGCATCATGCGGGATATAGCCGCAGAAGAGTACCTGTTGGAATTCCCCACATCTCCAACTTTCCTTTTTTCTTCCAGTGAGCAGCTACGCCACCAATACTTGCCGTCTTCTTTCTCCAAATGCCAATTTCTGCCGCTTGCACCGGTTCACCCACCAAGACCCCGTGGGGCTGCGGCAACTTGACACTCTCATCATGCAGGATATAGCTGCAGAAGAGGATATACCTGCCGGGGTTCCCCTGAGTAGCTAAGCCACCAGTACTTCCAAGCTTCTTTTTCCCAGTGCCAATCTCTGCCATGTGCACCAGTGTCGCCAACCAAGACCCTGTGGGGCTGGGGCAACTTGACTCACTCATCATGCAGGATATAGCTGCAGAAGAATATAAAGTTGCCAGGGATCCCCTGAGTGGCCAAGCCACCATTACTTTCGAGACTCTTTCTCCCAATGAAAATTTCTTTGTTTTTTTTCTATTTTTGAGAGTGGTATGAGCATCCTCCCCTAGTATGGCTATTTCTGGCCGCTCCGATCTATAGGTGGGGAGCAACACCTTCTGGAAACTGGCTCCATTTCTGCTGCGTGCCAACTTTTGTTTAAAACAGCAGTTCATACGAGCGCAAGTTGACACCAGTTCACACAAGCCTAAGTTGACGGAGCTACCTTCCAAGGTGGAGGAGCCTCCAATTGGGACTCTTCATAGTGAACTTCTGTCTTCACTACCGGCCCAGGCACGAATCAAAAGCTCTTACCGGCAAGAGCTCAACAAAGGCTCGGGTGAACTGGTGGTTTAAACCACCAGTAGTTCCTAAAGTTGTGCCCGTAAACAAGCCGCGACTTTAGGAGACATACGGGCCATTACAGAAGCGGCCAAATTCATCCGACTAGAAACGTTTCTACTCTATTTTTTCCTGCTGCCAATAGCTGGGCCAAGTACTGCTCGTGCCATCAGCCTTCCTGTTTCAGTAGGCCAAGCCCCAAAAAGACGCAGCGCACCATCAGTGCTTTCACAGGCAAAGGGCCTCGTTCGACACCACTTGGAAATTGCTATTTTTCAAGGAAGCGTCGTTCGACCCCGCCCTAATCACGCACCCTTAAAGTCGCTAATTGTTTCCACATCCCCGCGGCCAAGTGTCCGCCCTTGAAACGAAAGTGCGGCCCAGGCAAATCGACCAAAATCCCAAGGGTGCCTCGGGAGGTCACTTGGGGCCCAAGGGTTTCGCCCTTCGGGACGCGTGAATCGCGGTTTTCAGGTGCTTTCGTCCTTCTCTCAGCGGAGGCAGAACTGTTCCTGGTACAAACCAGCTTTTGTCCGACGTTTGCAGCGGGACTGTGGCACCGGGGGCGGTACCAACGGCAACCCGACGTGCCAGTTTCGGCAGCGAAGGGTCATCGCGCCGACCGTTACAGGGCGGAGGCTGTGTTGCGGGGAACGGTAGTGTGCTTTTTCAAATTCGAACCACCGCGCCCCGGGCGCGAGGCGGCAGTGCTGCCTTTCCTTGGATGACCATTGGTGTGCAAAGGAGCAACAGCATCCCGATGCGGTTGTGTGGCCTCGTTGTGGCCAGCATAAAGTGCACGATCATGGTGGCTGTGTGCGTCATCCATTGCGGTCTCCCTCCTTTGCCTTCTTGTCGCGCCCTGACGACGCACGTGCGTATGGCAGACCTGTTGAGGAAGACTGCTGTCCTCGCTCTCCTCCTGTTCGCCTTGCTGGCCGTTCTTGTCGTCCAGCTGTGGCAGCTAGGCAGGCGGGCGGCAGCCCGGCGTCGCCCGAAGTCGTCGAAGAAGAAGGTTAGGTTCGTAGCTGCAGGAAAGTCGATGGGGGAGTCTCGTTTAGGGGCGGGGCGTGAGCATGGGATGGAAAGGGCAGGTTTTACCAGCGGGACGGACATGCGGGAACATCGTTTTGACCCGGCGTTGTACTCGCATCTCCCCTCTTGCAAACAGCCCCTGCCAGACGATAATCATTGGGAACCACCTCCGTCAACTCTTCCACTTGGATGGGGGTCGACGCAGACTTCTTACAACATGGTGGGGATACCTCACCGTCGTGCCCGTTCCTTGGGTCCCATGTCCACGCTCCTCGACGAAGTTCGCCAAGGGGGCGGACATCCTCTCGATCTTCATCTATCCCCTACATGCAGCATGCACGACTCGAGGACGCTGATCGTCGACAACAACAGCGATGGCCGGCGTCCCATGACAGTTGCAACGGACGTGCCTACGAAGGGATTGTCCAGCGCGTCAGTGAATCGGCAACAGGAAGTGGCGATGAAGGACATTGGTGCGGCTGCTGCGGATAGCGTGCAGGGGGGTGTGCCGGGTGGGATGACGGCTGCGAAATCCCCGCCTGTCATGGAACGAATCATAGCACGAATGTCAAGCATGCGTGCGACGGGCCATGGTGAACGGGGCGGCGTCGGGAACGTGGGTTGTGAGGAAGAGGGTGAAGTTGATGGCGCCGACGAAGAAGAATCGGATAGTGATGACGAGGAGGAGGACGGTGTGAAAGAAGTAACAGCTCGTGGGGGCAAGAAAAAAGCAGACAATGGTCGTGGGAAAGGTAAGTCCAAGAAAGGTGGCGAGGGAGGGGGCGGGAACAGGAGGGGGCTGTGGGATCTGAACGAATCCCTCATTCTTGTGCGGTGCAAGAGGAATCAGGACTACCTCGCGAATGTTGGCAGTAACTTCGCGCAGATGAAGACGAAAGAGTGGAAGTGGACGGACATATCAAACCAGATGAGGCAGCAAGGTGTCATGCGAGACTGGGACTCGTGCATGAAGAGGTGGGAGAACGTGATTGGCCATTACAAGAAAGTGCTTGAGAGGGAGGAGTCGGGTGTGCAATCCTTCTTCACACTGACGGTGAGGCAGCGCAAGGACCTAGGGTACAAGTTCACGATGGACCGGATGTTGAATGACGCCATTGACGGGATGCAGTAGGGCAACCAGGCTATATATCCGCCTAATCTGGCGGACTCAGGCATCCCCCAACCTCAACAGTCCCAACAAGGCGAGCACAGCCATGTCCGTGGGCCAGCGGGCACAGGCGAGACATCCGCCAGTGAAAACGTTGAAGGTGAAGGCGGTGATGCGTGTGGTAGCCGGTCGTCAGGTGCCGCACCCCAGGGGAAGAGCAAGAACGCCCGCCAGCTCGCGTTCGAGTCTGTGACTGATGTCATGAAGACCCACTCCACCGTCGTCGCCGATTCCGTGAACCGCGCAAGCAAACGACAATGTGAGGTGCTTCGGCAACAATGTGACATAATGGAACGCGAAGTGATGACGCAGGAAAGGCAATGCGAGGTGCTGGACGCCGGCCAGCGGATGCTTCGCGACGCTCTGCTGAAGATAACGTCGGCATTGTCCCGCTGGCGATGACTTTCGTCGTTTTCCAAAAAGGCGATCAGGGAGATTCAATTTCACCTCAAGCCGCTGTGACGATCCCGCTCCCTTAGTGATGTGGACAGTTTTTTATCTCCAATTTCAGGAGCCGTCCAGTGGTGCACGGGTGTGGTTGAAATCACCGCTATTCACACCTATAAAAGCGGGGACAGCGGATGACGATTGGTAGCATTCTCAGACTGTGCAGTGGTCGGGCAAGTGGACTGGTCGTGGTGGTCATCGCGGACGAGGTGGTCAGCTTGTGCACCACGGGTGGTGAAGGTCGTTGCACATACCTTCACCGGTTTGCAAACCGTGGACGCGTGGCGGATGGTTGGGGTGGTCATTGTGGTGCAAGCGGTCCTCTTATTCTTCGCGGGGCGGTGAAGGGCGATGTGCATACGGGGGAAGGCGCGCAAACCGAGGACACGTGGCACTCTTGAGGACGGTGTGGTTCCCGGGGGTGCATCGTGCTGAGGGAGAGTACGGACGTCGTCGTCACGCTGAGAGGGCGGATCGCGGGGCGGACGGTCCTTTTCTACGAAATGAGACACCACAGAGACAAGGACTGCGGACGGGCGTTCGAGTTCGTGAACACAGTCACGCGTCATGAAGTGAGGCACTTCGAGGTAGATGAGAACGGCTGCACTTGCCTGCGGTTCACCGCCGGTTATGGTTTCGACCGCGGATTGCTCACACATGTTGTCGCTTTTGCGACGAAGGCCAGGGATGCGATTCCCGATCGGTGGGATTTCGTCATTGATGTTCTTGCCAATCTCGTCAATCTTCTTGTTTCCAACGTCGCGATGGAGTTCGATGATCGCCTAGACGAGGCCGCTGCGTACAGGGTCCACGTGGACCCGCCACTATACGGTCGTGAGTATCTGCATGGCGAGATCGGGATTGTTGTGGATGGTTTTCAATAGACACTGTACGTGACTTCGGGGATGTGAAGATCCTTCTGCGTTTCAGCGTGTACTGCACGGAGAGAGAGAGAGAGACAGAGAGAGACAGAGAGAGACAAAAGAGAGAGATGCGGCAAAAGGACTGTGTTCGACGTCCAAACGTGTGACGATGGATCTATCCGGAAGGTTTTCTTGCGGTCGTGGTGAACAACACGTCACAGGGTTGTAGAAGTGGACAGTCAATCCTTCTTCCCCGCGCTTTGTTGCGGGTAGAGGCAATCAATGTTGCCGTGTTGTCCCGTTCTGTGTGTAGTGGCAATACTACCACTCGGTTAATTGGGACTTGTTGTCAGCGTCCCCGGCTCCGATGATGTGGGAATTGCACGAACTTTGTATCATTGTTTGTTCACGAGCGATGGACGTTGAATGGAATCGGTTTATCTCGTTGTGAGTTGTTGTCCTTTTTGTTGTCTGCCTGCTGTGAATGCAGATCCCGTAACTAAGTTGAATGGCACGTTTGTATGATAGGTGTGTTCGAAGGTGATCTGATGCAATGATTTTCAAAATAACGACGAGAAGGAAGAAAGTGTTCCGACCCTTACCTTTGTTTCTTTATTCACTTAGTGTCATAAGAACTACAAGGGGAAAACATCTTCCCCAACCCATTCCCTCATAGCCAGATCGATTGAAAAGGAAACCGACCAAGTTGAATGAATTTTGCACAGACAGGTTGGAAACGCGAGCAAGCGATTGATTGATTGTGTGTGTGTGTGTGTGCTGTCTCTTATACACATCTAGATGTGTATAAGAGACAGGAGAGAGAGAGTTATGCCTGAACAATTAGCCACC